TTTCTCCTACCCCAAAGAAGATAGATAATTTTGAAGTTATTTCAGACCTTCAAGAATTTGCACGCAGATTAAAACTTCAGGAATTTTTCCACAATAAAACCACTAAAGCAAATGATATCGGTACACAGTTTAAAGAAAAATCCACCTGGTCATCCCCAGTCAACAGAGAACCACACTTAGAGAGCTTTATTACTGCAATTGAGAATGAAGTAATTCAAGCCATTAACTCTGACTTAAAAGTATGGAATAATCTCTCCTACAATGAACATGCTGCTCTAATTTCACTGAAACATGACAATGACATTATTATTAAACAAGCTGATAAGGGCGGCACCATTGTCATTCAGGACAAATCCGACTATATTAACAAAGCTTATCAACAACTTAATGACATAAACTACTATAAGAAAGTAGATTTGGACCCCACCCCGGAATTTGTTAAAATAATTGAAGACAAGCTATATAGCTTACAGAAAAACCAACACATAAGTCGTGAAACATTACAGTTCCTTTCACCTAAACACCCAGTTCCAGGTCGCTTTTACATGTTACCAAAGATACACAAACCTAACAATCCCGGTTGTCCTATTATTTCTAACTGCGGTATGCCCACCGAGAACTTATCTGTTTACGTTGATCATCACATCAAAGATATCCCTCCATGTTTGACATCATATATTAAAGACACAACCCATTTTTTTAACATTATCTCTGACATTAACAACAATGGAAAACTACCTCCAAATACCATTCTCTGCACCATGGACATTTCTCGTGGGGGGCGTTATAATGTGACGGTCAATCCCACCATTTGTTGGTAAAAGAGTAGCCCAAGAGTTGGCGGTGGGTGGTGATGACTAGCTGCTTTCCCTCTAGTCTTGCACTGCTAAATTAGGGATGGCTAGCACAGATAGCTCTCGTGTAGCTTTGCACAAAATTCAAAACAAACAAACAAGCAAGCAGCTCAAATATGCAATGAGTACTAGAAGTACTTGTTTTTATGTATATATTTTTTACTGTTATCTTTCATTTAACAAAAGTAAAAATTATAAACTTCTCCCTGTAGCCTAACAAAACTTCAGTAAAATGAAAATTTCTAAAATTACAATAACTATTGCTGATGTGAAATATGGCACTAGATTACATGTTATCTGTGTTAGCTCTACAGGAACAGTTAAGGGGCTCTCACTTGATTTATTACTTTTTATATTGCTTTATATTCTACTACAGCAGAAACAAAATAGGGCAATAAAACCATATAATTAATGGGGGAAAAGATGTGGAAATTGTTAAGATAAGTAATTTGGAACTCATTGATAAATACTGCAGTCAATGAAGAGGATGAGATGGTATTGTTTGTTTGATTTAATATTTTCCAACTTTTCCTTTCACTCTAAATTGATGACTTCTCAAGTTATTGTTAGGTTAGATAAGAGATAAAATGTAAAGTTAAAAAAAAGACAGTTTTGATATTCATTCAGGAGATTCTAGAGGTTATGAAAGTGTAATGTAATGTGAAAAAAGTAATTTTTCTTCTTAGCATAAGAATGATCTTTTATTTAAACTGATTTGTTAAACCTTTAAAACTTCACAGATAAACCTTTGTGAAAAAATACTTTCAAAGAATTTAATTTTTTTGCATACAGCAACTGAAAGTAGCCTTTTTTTCTTTGTAAGAATACTTAATTAGACTCCTTTAAGTGGATGTTTCTCAGAATTTTGCGTTAAAATCGAACAATTTATAATAAGTTTAGGAAATACACCATTTTCTACACGATGTTGTATAATGAAACAAAAAAATAGAAGAGTTTTGTAATGCACATAGTGTAAATTAACATTGTTAGTGTAAACATGTGCTTTTTTTTTCTGAGACAGGGAAGTAACCAAAGTGAGGCTATTTTATTAGATATACAATATTCTTTAAAATTTACTATTGCCATCTTTAAACAAGTTTTGCAAATATGTATCTCAAGTTCTATTATCCAAATTTGGGGGCTGTACGTGGCCTCATGATCAACTTGCTCAGATTGTGAATCCAGGAGTTTGTGCATCGTGACCTATTTCTGCACAAGTGTGATTTTTACTTTGGAAACAGGCTAGCTACTAGAATGATGGTCAAATCCTACTATTTGATCAGACATAAGTAATCCAAGTGTTGGTGTTGAATGCTGTTGACTAACTGCCCTCTCTCTTACCTATCAGTTAAAAATTAAGAATGGCTATGTCCTAATAGCCCGTTGTGTAGCTTTACGTGAAAATTTTGAAACAAACAAACAAATTTTGAAGAAAAACTAAAAAGAGTATAATGGCTTACTTTTTTATTATTCACTTTGTGCTTAACTTCTAACAAATACATAATCATTTTTTCATATTTCAAATGTACAGTTTTAAGATTTATTAAAAGCAAAATATTATTGCATTTTCGGTTTTATTTACAGTTTATAGCTACTTACATCCAAATTATCTTAAATAATTAGGAAAACAATTAATAAAATCTATACAAAATGTAAATATAGGATTGCTCTCCTCTTTTGTAGTAAAGTGAATTGCAATGCATGTTAATAGTTTATGTTGTGACCTGGCTGTCAGTCAAACATTGCCACATTATTGTAATGCCAACAAAAAATATAGCCAGCCACACTATTCCCAACAGCAGTATGGTGAATGGACTTTGGTGCCTAGGATAGAAGTGTCACTTGATAAATATGTAGAAATAAAACGTTTTGACTCGTGAAGTCAACACCATGAAACAGGTTGAGACAAATGTTCATCTTTCAGTAGAAATTGTTTGGAATTAAAGACTTATGCTGCTAAGGTGGTCCATTCATACTAAAAAGTGTAATCAGGTTAACCACGGTGCTCCAAGTAGCAGCTGTGATGTAAAATAGCTTTGCTGCTGCCTAAACAGACTGCTGTATAGAAGTCCTCTACATATATATAATATGCTTTCTTTTATATGAACCAAAATTAACAACACAACTGGCATCATTCTCAATTTTGATATATTTGTTTAATCATAAATAACAATGTTGGTTAAGTTGACCAACCTTGGAGTTACGAAACTATACATATTATAACTCTAAATTTACTAAGTGTATCTTTATGAAACTTGCCAAAGTTTTGGTGAACAACATAAGTCTGTTGTATAGAAAAAAAAACATTTCTTAATATTTAAAGATTGATCTGCAAATTTCTAAAGCCTTTTCTGAATCAGTCTAAGTGAAAGATGAAATGTTAAAAAATATGAAATAAAATGAATAATGCAGTTTTTCCTCTGCACTGACCCAGTTAGCCTTTGGGGAAATATATTTTACAAACTAAGAAAAAAAATATTCAATATCACATAGACTAAGATGTGAAGTGTTTCTCCTTGTGTTTATTACAAACATTTTATGGTTCCTAGGTATAGCACCTCTTCACGTGTTATGTTCAATTGTCATTACATCACAGGAACTTGTGTTATAACTGACAGTCTTCTTAAGTCACTTACCATTAAATTATGTTATGTTCAATTGTCATTATATCACAGGAACTTGTGTTACTATTGACAGTCTTCTTAAGCCATTTAACCATTAAATTGTTATGTTCAATTGTCATTATATCACACGAACTTGTGTTACTATTGACAGTCTTCTTAAGCCATTTACCATTAAATTATGTTATGTTCAATTGTCATTATATCACAGGAACTTGTGTTACAACTGACAAACTTCTTAAGCCATTTACCATTAAATTTTGGCCAGTTATTCAAACTAATTTAAACTAAATCATGAATGGTATTAGATTATTTTATCCATTCACATGATCTCATGTTAAAGAAAAAACTCCTAATTGTAAGCTATAAAATCCTGAACATGTCATAAATTATATGGTTTAATAGGAAACTTGGTAAATGCTATCAAACCAGCTGCCTGATGGCAAGGTTTTCTTATACTTGTAGAGATAAAGTGTGGGCCATTTTAGCAATACAGTACTGTTAATAATAGAAGCTATCTACGTAGAAAGCTCAAATTCTTCCAAAGTGTTATTAATAATTTGGGTATATTTGACAATCTGGTAGAGATATTGTTAGTAACTTAACTGTAAGTATTGGTGTGAATGTTACCTCCAGATCAATAAGATATGTGTGTACATTAACATGAAGTGGTTTCAGCAAGATATAGCTGCTCCAAAACAACTGGGTTGAAAAATGAAAAATCAAAAGGCTAAATGGGCATCAGAATTCAAACAATAGGTTGATCAAAGCTTATGGAGAATATTCGTTACTGATGTGTCAAATTCATACTTTCTGGCAACAATCAAAGACAGTTTGTTTCATGGCAGAAAGGAAAATGGTATCATAGTAAATGTAGAACATTTATAGTGAAGTATAGTGACAGACCAACAAAATGTGGACTTCATCCCAGCCAGTTATGTTGAAGATTTACACATGATTAATGGTGAAACATTACCTGAAATGAAAAAGAAGCCTATTTATACTTGAAACCCTGGCTTCACTTGTTCAAAGTCCTGATGTCAATGTTATTTAGTTTTTCCAGAAAATGAGGTGAAACAGCAACCAGACAACTTAACTGAACTGTGGGAAGTAACACAGTACATTTGGAACTTTATTTTACAATTATGTAGTGATAAACTTGTAGTAGCATAAAAATGATGTTTACTTCTCCATTTAAAGTAAATTCAAAATACTAGTGCAGAATATAACAAACTGGCTTTTTTCTTTTGTATTTTCTGTAATAATGTATTGTACTAATGATAAGCTGACCATCTATTTACAATTACTTATTGTTTAGTGACTCTTGTATATATATCTCCTGTGTTTCTGTGATTATTTTCAGTAATATATAACTTTAAATAACAAATATTACTGTATATGTGCATTTTTCAAATTAAATAACAGAAGGTTTATTTACACTTTTTTGACATACAAACATACATGGATCACTGCTATAAAAGTTAGTGTACAATGTGAGATTTTGAAGTAATATATTTTTGTTTAGTTGTGGTTTACAAGAATGGCATTGTTTGTCAAGCTTCGAAAGTTTGCTTTTGCTGAAGTGGAAGCTGAAGCTTTTGGTGACCTAGATAACCCAGACCTTTATTATCAGTTTTATCCTGACACTTACAGGGGAAGAAAAGGTGAGTCATTGATCTATAAGTTTGATTGAGGTATTATTAGCACTGTAATATATTCTTTCGTTATGTGTATTCTTTTAAATTATTTGGTAAAAATAGTTTGAAGTCAAGTCCATACAACAATAGCAATTTTTTTTTTTTTTCTAATGTTTGCTACAGGCTATTTTCACTTGTACACAGTTGTAGGCCTAAATTCACAAACAACATTTTCACTTTCAACAGAAATATGCTTGCTAAAGATACTAAAACTAATGTAAATGTACTTGCACAGTTTCCTGATCAAGTAACTGAATGTACATGTTAATCAACACTGACCTGAATGCATCACTTGCATGTTGATCACTGAATGAACTGAAAACTGTTTAATAAATAACTAGCATTTTAACTGTTTACTCATATTTATATCTGTATCCTTGTTTCTTGATATTTCACAGTCTCTTGTTCATTACATCATCATTGTTAACAGCTCCCTGTAGCTAATATCTAGATCAAAACATTGAAAATATAGCTTACAATATTAGCATAGATTTTTTTTTATAGTTCTTTAAGTTTTTTTAATTGTTTCATTATTTTCTGTTCTGGTATTTTTAAGATAAAATTATTGGAAAAATGAAGGAAAGATTCCTTCTAGTATAGTTAACACTGTATTTATTATTCTAAGTATAACGTTATGATTTGCTGATTTATTTTCTCTCGTGGTGAAATATTTACAAGCCAGTTGCAAGAGCTACAACTTCTCAAGAGGTAGCTTGTTAAAGTTCTGTTTTCTTAGTTTTTTTAGCATTTAACAATTCTGATTGGACTTTCAGGTAAACTAGTTATTCTACTTTGAACTCATTATTTTATTACTTTGTTATGAATGTTCTTTATCTTGTTAATTATATATATTCTTAAACCAAGCATTTTTGTACTCAAGGGTATAAAAACATCAAATTAAAGAACATTTTAGGAAAACATCAAGTTAAAGAACATTTTCAGTGTATTTTGATCAGCCATGCTTATTTCACATCAGGTTCAATGGTTCCATTTGCTTTTCGTGTTCTACTTGCTGAACTTCCTCAGTATCAAGGAAACCACCAGGTGGCTTTGGATAAGTTGTATAAGATTCTTGGAACTGTACAGAAGGTATTTGAAATTGCAACTTGTAATATTTCATAAAACTTGGTGTAAAAAAGATTCTTATTTATAAGTCAGGGCAAATATATGCAGATATTGTATTAATAACCATGATGATAATAATATAAGGATTTTTTAATACAAGATGTTAATTTACAACTAATTTTAAACTTTTAATTTAACACCTACCACACCAGCCAGTCCAGCATCTTGATGTGGATAAAAAAAAAGTCATTCTAGAACTGTTTTGATTAGACAAAAAGAAGACTGCATTATTTGTGAAGTCTAGATCATTGGACTTGACCTGACCTGACACTGTGAGAGCCAACGTGGAGAAGTTAACTTGTAAATATAAAGTAAAATAATGTATCAATGAAACATGCTTGAAATGTTTTAGCTGTTGTTGTAAATGTGAGGGTTTAAGTTAGGAGATTAAGCTAAACCATGTGTCCAGGTTGGATGAGGGAAGAACTTGTTCAAAGATATCCCAATCGATTCGGCATACCAGCTGAATCAGAGATTCATCAGTTGATTATCACATTGGCAATAAAACATAAAAAAATGGGCACAATAGTATCATTATCTTCAAAAGGGGGGGATTGGAATCAAATATAAGAAATCATGAATTTCAATATTTTTTGAAAGATTATAATGCTAAAAATCACATTTTGATACCTATGGTGAACATAGCATAATTGTTCATTGTGTAGTTTTGTGCTTAACAGCAAACAATAAAAAGACAGTTAGGCTTATATTAGCCATATAACATGGTTTTTATTTATATGTTGCAGAAAACAGCATTATACTGACATTTTTATCTTTTCTGTGGTTGGCTTGTAAACCTTCTAGAACCCTTTTCTCATTTTATTTACTTATATGTACTCACTTGGCTTGAGGGGATGTAAAAATATTTCATATTATGCATAAGTAGCCCTTTTTGTTAATAATGACTGCTTTCTTACCCTTCTAATGTGACTTAGCTGAAATGATTTCAGGCAATTTGAAGAAATGCCATAATTTTTTGGTGGTTTACCCAAATAAAATTTGTAACTTTGGTGTATAACAGAACAAGTTTATGTAAAACTAAATTTTTTTTAAACGTATAGATACTGACTAACTTCATTTAAATAATGCACAGTTGCATACATAGATAATTAAAAAGTTTTAACCTTGCATTACTCTTCTGTAAACATTTTCCGTAGTCACTCGTAACAGCTCCCTGTAGCTAATATCTAGATTAAAACATTGAAAATATAGATTACAATATTAGCATAGATTTCTTATAGTTCTTTAAGTTTTTTAATTGTTTCATTATTTTCTCTCCTGGTATTTTTAAGATAAAATTATTGGAAAAATGAAATAGTTTCTTTTATTAATTAACTAGCTGAGTTACCTGGCATTAAATGGTGAAAATTTAGATTTGAAATGTATAGATCAGTATTTTTTTCAGCAAATTATTCAGTAAG